ACAGCTTCTCACCCTGGAGTTGCCTCTGCCCTAGGGCCCCCTCTCTCTTGATTGTGAGGTCCCTAACCCAGACCACCATTTCAGGAGGGCCCAAGGCCACATTTGCTTCACTCCCAGCTCCACTGGTCACTCTCCAGATTTCTCTACTTCCTCACCAGCAGCCTTCTACCCAAAAGGGCAGCCTTTCCTTTATGTGGTGGTGTCTTCTCTCATCAGAATGTAAGCTCCTTGAAGGCAGAGTTTGCCTTTCTTTTTGCTCCCACATGGGGTGGGGGGAAGACACAGCATCCTGAGATCTGGAAAATCCAGTAAAATTTTTTGGCCCTCCCCTTGTACCAGAGAAGAAGCATGACTTATTATGGTGTTAAAAGATAAAATACGTTTATATTCTACAATACTATACATATATTTTATGCATTTCTGAGTTTCTAACCATTTTCTGTGTTGTCTGCTGGCCTTTGTGTGTCCTCTGCAACTTCCGCAAAACTCCCCAAAAATTTCTGTTTAATTTTTCATGTGACCCGTGATATATCAAAACTGTCATGGGGAAAGTTATGATGTGGAAAGATAACAGTATTTGTATCCCCCATGCTTAGCCCAGTGCCCAGCACCCAGGAAACGTTTAATTTTGTCTCTCTACTGGAGGGAAACAACACATACACAGAAATTTATTACAAAATAAACAAAGCACTTGGTGGGGGGAGGGAACAAGCATTAAGCACCTACTATGTGCCAGGCACTGTGCTAATAAGCACTTTACAATTATCTCTTTTGATCCTCACAACAACCCTGGGAAGCAGAAGCTGTCATTAAGAGAATTCTATGAGGAAGGGAGTGGGGTGGGAAGGGCATGCATGGAGGGGGTCAGCCTATGCAAAGGAGGACAGGTAAGAGATAGAATGCTGTTTGTGAGGAACAGAAAGAAGGCCAGTTTGTCTGGATTGTAGAGTCAGTCCCTAAAGGAGACTGATGTGTGATGAGGCTAGAAAGGTGGGACAGAGCCAGCCTGAACAGAGAACTTTGTATTTTAACTCACAGATAAGGGAGCCCCTGAAGCTTCCTGAGCAGAGTGGCACAGTCAGAACCGAGCTTCAGAAAGGTGATCTTGGCAGCCATGCCAAGGGTGGATTAGAGAGAAAAGAGGCTGGTTACAAGACGAAGTCAGAAGTGCAGGGGAGGGGCAGCTAGGTGGCACAGTGGATAGAGCACCGGCCCTGAAGTCAGGAGGACCTGAGTTCAAAGCCGGCCTCAGACCAAACACTTGACACTCGCTAGCTGTGTGGCGCTGGACAAGTCACTTAACCCCGATTGCCTAAAAAAAAAAAAAAAGACAGGGGAAAGGGCATGGGAGAGTGGCCATGATGGAAGTGGGGCGGAGACAGCTCCCAGATACCCTGCGGAGGGAGATTGAGCCAGACTTGGTAACCAACTTCAAGCAAGGGCTGAGGGGCAGGGGAGGGGTGAAGATGACACAGGTTATCAAACAGAGACTCATGGCTGGCCTCTAACAGAATCGGAGGAAAGTGGAGGAGGACCCCAAGACTGGGAGCCTGGGCCACCAGGAGGATGGAGGTGCTCCCACCTGGAAGGGGGATGTCAGGCGACGCTTAGGAAGAAGCTTTTGTGCTCTGTTCTGGACACCCACCAAAAGAGCCGGGGAAGGAGCCACCCATTCAACACATGGAATCTGAGTTGGAGGGGACCTAAGAGGCCACGTGAACCACTGGGGAGCGGCACGCCAGACTGCACCTGGATCTAGGAGAAAAGAATCACTTCCTCACAGGGTCCCCATCTTTCCAAACTCAGCAAACAGCTCTCCTTTCCCAGGTCCACACTAGAATGCCATCTCATTGGTTCCCTCACCCTTTGGGGGTCAAAATGTGTTTCTGTTCAATTTCCTCTTTCCTTCATTCTGCCCAACATTCTGAGCTGTCAAGAGTGTTCCAGATCCTGGCTCTGAACTCTCTTCCATTACTTTTCCCTAGCCATGTCATCTCCCCATTAGAGGGTTTCACTTTGTCTTTGTATGGCCAGCACCTGACACATAGTAAGTGCTTAATAAATGTAGTGTCAGGGCTGTCATATGGAGGAAGGAACAGCCTTGTTCTGCTCAGCTCATGGAGAAGAGGAGTTGCAGGAAGGCCGACTGAGGCTGGTGTCAGGAAAACTTCCTCCCAACATGGGATCTCCTCATTAAAGGGCTTTTGGCCTAGGCCCCTGACAGATCATGGGATCATGGACAGAGGCTTCCAACCTACAGAAGAAAATAATCCATTCATAGACACCAAAGACATGTGAGTGGCCCCAGGCTCTGACTCATGCTTGGGCTCAGCTGACCTACTGCTCCTTGGCTCCCTGCCAGAGGCTTCCCAGAGGAGCCCAATGGTGGCTTGGTCTCTGCTAGGTGAACTGGGGGACGACTGCCCTGAGAACACGCCACGGCCAGGCACATGGTGAGTAGGTCTGCCTGTTCCCAGAGGGCTGCACTGTGACCAGAGCTCTAGGCCTGGAGTCAGGAAGACCCTCATTCAAATCTAACCTCAGATCCTCACTAGCTATGTGACTCAAAGCAAGTCATTTCACCTGTTTGCCTCAGTTTCCTCAACTGTAAAAGGGGAATAATAATAACAACTACATTCCAGGGCTGTTGTGAGGATCAAAGGAGATACTATTTGTAAAGAAAAAAAGTGCTTAGCACAGTGCCTGGCACATAGGAGGTACTCTATAAACTGCTGGTCCACCCCGTCTCACCTCTCAGCCTGAGGTTCACAGGCCCCTGTCACCCTGGCCATGGCCCACACCATCATTTTTCCCAGCTCCCCTGTTCTAATCATCCATTAACAGAGTAGCTTCTCAAGGTTTGAGAATTAGAGTGTGTGCAAAGCTGTGAACACTAGATTAACACTGTTAATCTGCTAGATTACTTTCCACAAGACAATCGGTAATTCACGAAGGGGCAAGGGTCACCGGAGCACCCTCAAACTGCTCCGGTCTCCATTCCCAGCTTTGCCCCCTCCCTGCCCCGTCTCCCTCCTTCCCCCTTCTAAATGGTCAAAAAATAAAGACCAGGAGGAGGAAGGAGAAGGGCTAGAACACGCGCAACCCTGTAAGCTTGGCACCCGCAGCTCCGTCACCACACACTCTGGGACGGCAGCTGATCTCTTAGGGTCCGCAGCACCTTTTACTAAAGTACTTCTCAGTTCCCTCTAACTGTGTTTTTCATTCAAAAGAATCACGCCTGAGCCATTGGCTGCTTCCTTCTCTTGCAAAGAAAGGAGCCAAGTTCAGCTGCTCGGCATCTGGGGCCCCAGACACAGCCAGGCATCCTCAAGTCAGCGCCCGGGGCCAGAGCTCTCCACGGACAAAGGCTGGCCTCCAGCTGCAAAGCTCAGATACAAAGGCTCCCTGAGCTCCCCAAGGACCCCGCCCCCATCCCCAAATGGGCCTGCGCAGAGCTCCGTGCCGGGAGGAAGCCTCACAGACCCCGCGATCAGGGGTCAGGGTGAACAAAGCTCAGAGCGGCCGAGGAAGCAGCTGAGCCATCCAAACGAAGACAGGAAATCAGGCCCTGCCGCAACACCCAGAACAAAGGCATCCTTGGAAAAGGAGCTAGGGGCTCCGGGAGGATGCCCCACTGCAGCTCCCACGTCCCGGGGCCAGATGGTTCAGGCAGCACTACCGCCTTGCCACATCTCCCCCAAGCAGCACACAACAGAATCACTGGGGGTGCTGCCCATCTCCTTGCCCCACCTAGGCCCCACACAGCCCGCCTCTCCGGGACCATCCCACAGGACTGAGCAGCCCCGCCCGTGGGTGCCACATAGGGGATGCCACTTGGAAACACTTCACAGATGGCAGCCCAGCTGGCCCAGAGGGGGGTGGGAGGGACAGTGACGGGGACAGGAGACCAAGGACATAGCAGACTCTTGGGAAGAACTGGGCCTGAAGGGGACAGAAGGGGAATAAAGAAATGGAAAGGGGGACAGAGAAAGGCTGGGTTAGGATGTGCCGGCCACGCTTATTCTAGATAAATCACATGCTATTGATCCAGCCCCTGACTCCGATTGAACGATCCTCCATCATCCATTCTGGAGAGCAAAGCAGGTTCACAGGTCATCCACCTCCCTGACCCTCCTATGGCCCCTCTGCCCCCTGGGCCCATTGCACAGACTTCTGCCCTCTCCTACCAGGGGCCAGGCACAGCTAAGAAAAAGAAGAAAACACCCAAGTGAGGAGAAAGCTCCTGACTCTCAGGGGGAAGGCAGGGCCTCAAGCCTCCATGATGACGGGCCTCAGGTCAGGAGGGGCCTCTGGGGCCTGAGCTACCACCAGGCCAGGCAAGTGGAAGGGCAGGAGGGAGGGAGGGGGGAGGGGCCCTCTGCCGTCACAGGACAGCGCCCATCTTGCTTCTAGCCCTTGGAGTCTAAATGACCGTGAGCAAGTTGGGGAGCTTCCCTGGGCCTCAGTTTCCCCATTTATACAACAAAGGGCTGAGATCCCTCCCAGCTCTACCTCTGTGATCCTACGATCCTGTGACCTTGGGGGAGTCATTTTTTCTCTGGGCCTCAGTTTCCTCTGTAAAGTGCAAAGGTAGGGAGGGTTTGGACAGCACAACCTCAGGGGCTCCTTCCAGCTCTGCTACCCTGGAGAAAGTCTCTTAGCTTAGGCAAGTTACTGATTCTCTGAGCCTCAGTCTCTTCCCCTGTAAGATGGGGGTTGGGGGGAAGGAGGATTGGACTGCTCAATGGCCTCTGGGGCCCGTCCCAATTCTCAGTCATCCCAGAAACCTGAGAAGGCTCTAGAGGGGTCCTCAATCAGCACCACCAACAAAAGCCTCACACGCTCTATCCAGCCTGAGACCCAAGAACAGGCCCCAAGCAGCAGAAGCCCCCTGACAAAGAGCAAAGCTTCCTAAGGATAAGCCACTGTGGCCCAGCCTCCAGGCGGTCCGTGAGCCAGTGACCACCTGGCGCTCAGCAGGGCCCCTCTCTGGTACTTACTAGGGTCTTCCCATCGGAGGAGGTGCAGCTTCCAGGCGGCGTAGTACATGAAGCCCAGCACCAGGCAGAGGCACAGGGTGAGCAGCAGGTTCCGGACGAGCACCACCAGGCCCATCTTCATTGGCTACATGACCTACGAGAGACCAAACAGACGGGGCCTTGAGAGGTGGGCACTAAGTCTCACCAGCCCACTTTCCATAGACACGCAGGGCAGTGTGCCCTAGCCATGAGCTGGGGCCGAGCCTGGTACAATGGTCAGAGCAGAGCATAGGGAGTCCCTTCCCCTGCATGGGCTGCCTCCTTCTTCCTGAGAAAGTCAATCAATCAATCATGATAACTTTCAGACAACCACTCTCCCAAGCTGTTAAGAAAAAGGACATTTGCGGCATCAAAAACATTAGCAGTTAACTATCAGCTACAGACACTGCCTGTGTGAGTGGAGAGGAGGGGCGTGCACAAGAGAAGTTGTGAAGTCAGAAATGCCAGGACTGAAGAAACGATTCACATGGAGGATGAGAGAGAGGAGCAAGGATGACTCCCCGGGTGGGAGCCTGGGGAGTGGGAGGACAGTGGTGCCCTCCACAGTCATGGGGAAGTTAGGAAGAGAAGAGAGTTGGGGGGGGGGGAGATGATGAGTCATCAGATTGGGACATGTGGAGTTCATGATGTCTATGTGTCATTCAGTTTAGATGTTCAAAAGACCAGTTGGGGGCAGCTAGGTGGCGCAGTGGATAAGCTCTGGCCTTGGAGTCAGGAGGACCTGAGTTCAAATCTGGCCTCAGACACATGACACTTACTAGCTGTGTGACCCTGGGCAAGTCACTTAACCCCAAATGCCTCAACAAAAAGGCAAAAAAAAAAAAAAAAAAAAAGACAGTTGGAGATGCGAAACTGGAGGCCAGCATCAGAGAAGTTGGGGCTGGATAAGCAGACCTGAGAATCATCAGCCAAGACGTGATCATTGACTCCTTGGGAACTGATGAGATCACCAAGTAAAACAGAATAGACGGAGAACAGAAGGCCCAGGACAGAGTCCTGGGGGGTGCCCATAACTAGTGGCATGACCTGGATGACCTTGTACAGCAAGGAAGACAGAGAAGGAGCAGTCAGATAAGAGGAGAACTGGGAGAGGTAGGTGTCAGAAAAACAAGAAGAGGCTGATCAACAGTATCAAAGACTGCAGAGAGGTCAAGATGTAGGAGGATTGACACAAGTCCATTAGATTTGGCAAGTAAGAGATCACTGGATGAATGTAAAGGAATAATAACAATAATAATAATAACAGCTAACATTATATAGTGCTCACTATGTGCCAGGCACTCTGCTAAATGCCTTACAATTATTATCTCTCTTGATCCTCATGACAATACTAGGACATAGGTGATATTATTATCCCCACTTTACAGATGAGGAAACTGAGGCAAAGAGTTTAAATGACTTGCCCAAGGTCATATAGCTAGTGTCTAAGGCAGGATTTTAAAGTCAGGGCTTCCTGACTCCAGATTTAGCATTCTATCTGTTCAACCACCTAGCACCTCTTGCTAGATTCCACATAATGCTCTCTAGCCCATCATGACATTGTTCTTACAAGTTATCACTCTGTATTTATCCTCTGTGACCAGTTCTGGCTTCTATGATCTATATATTTCTTTTAAAAATCTCTGTGGCTGGGGGGGGCAGGTAGGTGGCGCAGTGGATAGAGTACCGGGCCTGCGTTCAGGACGACCTGAGTTCAAATCTGGTCTCAGACATCTGACACTTACTAGCTGTGTGACCCTGGGCAAGTCACTTAACGCCATGGCAGCTCTCACACCAGAGGTGCTAGTCCTGCTAAACATCCCACACCAGGTGAAGTAGGATAGAGAGAGAAGAGAAGAGGACCCAGGACAGAACCTGAGGCACACCTATGGTTAGAGGGTGTGATCTACAGGATCCAGCCAAGGAGACAGAGAAGGATTGGTCAGAGAGGTAGGAGGAGAACAGGGGGGGGGGTGTCACCAAGACCTAGAGAGAAGAAAGTGTCCAGGAGGAGAAAGTGATCGACAGTGTCAAGGGTGTCAGAGAGGTCAAGGAGAATGAGGATGGAGAAAAGATCACTGGATTTGGCAGCTGGGAGATCCCTGGTAACTGGAGAGGGTAGCTTTAGTGGAATGATGAGGTCAGAAGCCAGATTGTAAGGGGTTAGGAAGGCAGTGAGAAGAGAGATAGGAGAAGCACCCATTGTAGATGACCCTTTTCAGGAACTTAGCTACAGAGGGCAGAAAAGACATGGATACTTAATACATGTTTGTTGACTGATCACTGACAGACCATATCACCAGCACTTTCCTTCTTCTGACCCTCATTCTCATCCTGATCTCCCATCCCTCCACCCCTCCACCCTCTCCCAGGCCACCATCATCCCTGCTCTGTTCATCTTCCCTCATCACTGCTACCCATCCCCCACCCCCCAGTCACTTCAGAAGCCACCCAGGGCTGCCCTGCCACCACCAGGGGGCAGCCTCCCCTCAGCCTCCTGCCCAGACCCGTCCCCACTGCTTGACAGATCATCTGGCTTGATCCAGATGGGAGTCTTCTGATGACGTGGAGGGCCACGAGGCCTTGCCATCTGCCCTGTCTCCACTTCCTGCAGACCTTTGGAACTGTCACCCAATCTACGGATGTAACCTAATGACCTGTAAGCCTTGCCATCGGCTACAGAGTATGAGCTCCTTGAGAACAGGCGCTGTCTTGCTGTGCAGCCCCAGCACTTGGCACATAATGAACACTTAATAAAGGCTTTTTCTTTCTTTCGTTCATTCATTCAATTGCTGCTCTTGCCATCCCACCTTCTAAACCCCAACCACTTCTGTCCATGTCTCAGGCTGTCGGCAGTCTCACCCCCCCCCCCCAGCCCAGCCTGGGCCTGGCCGCTGCTCAGGGATGCCTGACCTCTATCCCCCTCCTTGGGCCACCTGTGCCCCTCCCCAGCGGCTCCCTCTCCGCAGAGGATTGGGACATTGAGGACATCGCCATGAAGCTGAAAGGCTCACAACCTCGGATTCATTCTCTCTTCCCCCCCTTTCCCAAGCAGTCGTCATGATCTGTTTTTTCTGCCTTTGTAACATCCCCCACACGTGGCCCCTTCTCTCCTCAGACACTTCAGCCCCCCAGGGCTGGGCCTCCTTACCTCACACTTGGACTATTGCAATGGCCCCCTTCACTGGTCTCTCTGCCTCCAGGCTCTTCCCTCCCTAGTTCATCCTCTACTCAGCCACTGAAGTGATATTCCTAAAGCACAAGTTTGGCCATGTCAGCCCTCAGCTCAAGAGGCTTCGATGGCACCCCACTGCATCTGGGATATAGCACAAATTCCCATATTTAGCGTTTAAAGTCTTAATAATCTGGCTCCAACCTAGCCATCCAGCAATGATGACACATCATTCACTATCACTTTCTCCACAGTCCAGTTGAACTGGCCCACAGACTTGTTCTCTGAACATGACATCTCATCTCCCACCTTCGAGGCTTTGCACAGGCTGGCCGCCATGCCTGGAACACTTCCCCTCCTCACTTAACACTCGTTGGAATCCATATCTACATTCAAGGTTGAACTCATCTGTCACCTTCCACAAGAGCCTTTGCCAATACCCCCAGGAGTCCCCGGTTAATAGGGTCCCCATCTCCAAATGACTTTGTCTTGACTTTGTAAGAGTTCTCTGCGTAAGTGTTATAGCCCCTCAGTTGAATTCAAGCTCTCAGAGGGCAGTTCTGCACTCAGAGACAGCACCTCCCACATCTCGTCCAATGCAGCACGTGTCCAATAAATTTTTGTAGAACCACACTCAGCTGTACTGCGAGCTGTGTGAGCCGTGCAGAACTGGGGGAGGGGCTCACTCTTCTAAGGAGCCAGCCCCAATAGAGGAGGCCCTGGAACAGAAAGCTGGCCAGGACTGACCATTCATGGACCAGGGGAGGGGAAATTGTGTCTTCCACCACAAATAAAGTTTGTCTTCTATGAGATGTTAGCACATCATGTGTGATTACATGAGAGCTGAGGATCCTTTTACCCACATATGGACCAAATTCTCAGAAAACCTGGGTGGAGGCATGAGGCCAAGAGGAGTCCCTGAAGACTGAAGCCAGGCTTTCAGTAACTGTGACAGGGCTGAAGATTCTGCTCAGTGCTCACGATGCCCCCGGCCCTGCCATAGGAATCACCAACTGGGACAGGATCAAACAGAAGGGAGGCTCCTACCTGCCCCTATTCCCACTGTCCCTCATGCCTGAACTGCTATCACTCCCTCACTCCCGGCTTCCTTCCAAAGCCCACTGCAGGCAGGAGGCCTTGACAACCCCATCCCCAGCTGCTAAGGCCTTCTCTGGGATTGCCCCAGCTCCATCTGCAATCCGCCCATTCACCCTGTATTCATGTCTGTAAGTTGTTTTTGCATGCTTCTTCCCCCTTTAGAAAGTGAGCTCCTTGAGGGCAGGGACCAAGTTTTTGTCTGTCTTTGTAGAGTTCAGCACAGTGCCTGGCACACAGTAAGTGGTTAATAAATGTTTGTTTACTATTGCTGCCTGACTAGCATTGTGGAAAAGCTCGGGAGATTTGAGCTTGCCCATGGGATCAGGATCCAGGACTTATCCTTAAGAGTTCACTGTCCATGCAGTAAGAGGTGTCCAATGGAGTGCCCAGGGGATCTAGGCTCGGCCCTGGACTGTTGAATATTCTTATCAATGATTTGGATAAAGACAGAAATGGCAGATGGCCAGCTGGAGAGGTCTACCTCAAATGCCCTGCTGGCACCTCAAGTTCCTCAGATCCAAACCTGAGCTCACTGGTGTCTCCTTAGAAATCCTGCCACAAGCCCTGCCCTTCCTCCCTCAGACACCCAGGGAAGCTCCACTCCTGCACCTGTAACGTTTGCAGCCCGCCACCCCACACCTACTGAGACACTCAGCCTCACCAGCTCCTCTCTGGTCGGCCCTTGGAACCACCCTCTCCACTCCTGGCCACAGTTCCGGTGTCCCACCTGCTCCCTGTGCCCGCTTCCATCCCCGCCACCTAATCCTGTCACTCCACTCAGACATCTTCTGTGGCTCCCCATTATGACCTGAACAAAATGGGCCTTGTACATATCATAAATGTGA